TATGTGTTGAAATACATATATTATTGATATGTTTAATAAATCTTTAGTTTGTTCTGCCCTAGAGCTTGTTTGTCTTTGTTTATACTAAAATTTATTAATTTGTTGCCATTTGGCAACTACTGAAATTTTTACCCTTATACGCACCATATTGCCGCATGGCAACATACCTACAAACGCAATATCCCATAATTTTTTTTACAAATTATCCATACAGAAGTGATCTATGATCTACCCATAACATAAACACAGCATAGAAAAATTTTTCCATGTTCAAATAAAAAAGCGTGCAATATAGGGTTAAATACATTATACTTGTATTTATTTTTTATATTTTTGAAGGGCATTTATACAGTAATTATGTCCATTTTCATTTTGGTAAACTTTAACGGTATTCGTAAAGTGATTAAGCACATGTTTATTTTAATTAATTGTAGGGACAGTGGCGTAGCGAGGTCGGGTGTCACCCGGTGCGGCACTTAATGGTGTCACCCCCCCCCCTCCCCGAGGCGTAGCGACCCTTCCCGGGAAAAAAAATTCAAATTTTCGATTTGCACCCCTCCTCCTCAAACTTTTGATTTGCACCCCCCTCAAGTTTTCGATTTGCACCCCCCCACCCCCACACCTTAAACTTTCGATTTGCACCCCCCTCAAGTTTTTCTCTATATATTTTGCTATTTTTTGCCTTGGTGTCACCCCTCTAAAAGGTGTCACCCGGTGCGATCCGCACCCCCCCCCCCCCCCCGCTACGCCTCTGTGTAGGGATATTCAGTATAATAGTTAAGGCCATAGTGATTCTTGTTTTAAAATAGTGTAGGCACACTAAACAAATTATAAAGTCTATACTGTTTGATACATCGGGCCGAGACTGTTTTATGGTAAAGTTCTCCTGATTTCTAAAACGTCTAAATTACCGGCAGTCCGAGCATGCCATCGCGAAATTCTAAATAACATGAAGCTGGCTGTCACATGGTTCACTTTCTAATTATAGACACGGACCTTCTCTTGTGAGAACGCGGTCTTAACCTGTAATGTAATACGTGGACGCTCTATACACACGCACCCTCTCTTGAATGGCTGCGGTCAGAGATCCAGTAACGTAGTACCCGAACTGATTTTTTAAGGGTTTGGCATCCCATAGATTTAAATGTACAGTTATCCTTCACGGGCTTCACCTCACCCCACTAACTGTCACCCCCCCCCCCCCCCCCCCCAGTGTTCCACCTTACTGAGCGTCCGTGATTACATTTGAGAGTCATTTCCTTTGGATATCTATAGCTGTAAACAGTGTTTTTCACGATTCGAGCTTATTCCGAAATCTATCAATGTTTTGCTATTTCCCCCGGCATCCACACACTTTGAATGCCACTGTTAACATTCGATAAATTGAGAAAATATCGATACTATCACCTGCCACTGTGGACCGATTTAACGTTGCTTCAAAGTGCCCGAAGGTATTAAGTCAGCCAAACAGTGCCTTCAGTACATTTGGAGTATTCGGGATTCCTTTCCAAATACGGCGATCGCCTACAGAATCTTGCTAACAGTTCCAGTCACGAAAGGCAAGAAAAGTAGATCTTCGTTTGTGAACGTACTGGTAAGATTTTCATAAATAAACATTAATGTAAAAAAATCAGGTTTGAAGCTGACGTTCATCGTCTCTTTAATGCGTGTATCAAACTTATATCTGTTGTATTTTTTACTTTTCAAACAAAAAGCCTTAACAGAAACAAGCGACGTTTCAAAAGCACCTTCTAAGTAAACAAATTATTTGTTAATCAGTGTCTTAATGTTAATACGACATTGATAAACAGCTTAAAAATACCATATATATCGTTATAAATATTAATTCGCGTTGAGAAGAAAAAAAAACGCCTCACTGTACATGTTTTATTTAATTATACACCAATGAAAAAATATAAGGCCCCGCGCGGATGGTTGGCCATAGGCCCCGCGTACCCCTAACGCCGGCTCTGGGCTTACTAGTAAAGACCTTATTTTAGTTCTACTTAATTAACTTAGTCTTATGTAGTGATCTTTAGAACTTAAAATGCAGAATAGTTGATAAAGCCAAAAGGTGTCAATTGTCATAGATGGATTAACTTAATAATCAAATTAATATAATTATCCTAATATTTATTCTAGTATGTGTATGAATTAATGATAGTTATAGTAGCCTAGTTTGAATATCAATTTTCAACTAATTCCTGAGGTGGCTAAACATAAGTAGTAGATCTTTATTGATACTTTTTTCTTTTTTTTTAATGATATATACATGACTTTTGGACTCTTTTGAAGGCCTATTGTATATAATGACAAACTCCTTACATTAAATACATAAATACACATCATTGCTTTATGATCCTTATAAGACAGACACATATTTTTATTTATAACATTAAGAGTTGAAAGTATGGTAACATAATGAGTTTAATATAGCAGTTTATGAAATTTATTTATGTTTTTTTAGATACTGTGGATTATACAACTGCATACAGAGAAGACAAAAGTCAAGATGAAGCTCAATTTAAAAACTGATCCAAGGATACATGTTGGACCCAAGAGAACTTGTTCATATTGAACAACTATTTTTTATTATGTTAGTTCTGAATGAATATGGCAATTAAAAAAAGAAAATCATAAACTTTGTTATGTTTATTTTTTTTTTCAGCACTGGTTGTGTGTGCTGGTTTAAGCGGAAACTATATTATTTCTACCTTAACTCAATAATTAACTTAAACTGGCGAACTATAAATAGTTTTTAAGAATATGGTGCTGAAGTAGATTTCACCTAGTTTTGTTGCCTCTCCATATTAATAAATTGTATGGTCAGCAAAATGTCAAAGAGCTTTTACTAAGTTCTACTGTCCATAACCAGTCAGGTACCAGTTAAAGCTGCTTTGAAATTGAATCAGAGACAACCTAAAGGATTAAAATTTCAACTCAAGAACTTTTGCTTTAGCAAATGTGTTCACAAATATGTAGTTCCACTCTTAGCCTTACATTTGCATATATCTATCATAGATGTAAAACATAATGTTTAGGGAAGAATCAAGAATATGGGTTTTTGTCAATTCTAGCCATACCAGCATATAAATGTAGACCAGGCTTAGTGAAGCATGGCTGAAAACTAACCATCAACCACAAATACAGTAAACTATAATCACTGCCTGTTTCCTGGTAATGTGTTGTTATTGGCAGTGCAAGTTTATGAACATGTTGTAATTGTTTATATATTACGAAAGAAAAAGACTGTTGCTGATCAGATGCATTCCAGATATTTGAGGAAAAGATCTTTTCTACAAGTTAGGCAGCTATAGCAAATGAGGTTAGGGGAAATGTTGAGTTAAGATAAACTATTTAATAATTGTAATGACAGAGATACCATCACAACAACAAATGTAATTGGGTTTGTATGACTAATTAATGAATATCCTACAAATAATAGCAAAATGTTGTAGTGGTCGTCCTTCAGACTTTGAGGTGGTGGGGGAGATTTGGACCTTTGTGTCAGGGGGGAGGGGGTTCAGAAAGTAAGATGACGCTTTTCCATGTTCAACAAACACTCATGTTAAGAAACTGAATTTAAGCCTTTAATTTGCATTATTAAAAGTTGTTTTATAAATTGTTATAAAATAATTAACCAATAGGCCTACATTGAATGTTGGAAAAGCTCATAGGTCTAAATATTTTATGAAAATCGGTGCTTTAAAAACAAAATAGCGGGGGGGGGGGGGGGGGGGGGCGTGTTGGCTTAGGTTTACTTTTTTGGGGAAGGGGGAGGTCTGGCATCGTTGTGACATCGTTAATAGATGACCCCATAGTCAGAGGTCGATCTAGATTGATTAGGCCTATATTAAAATGTTGATATTAATTACGCTTTACTTATTATTACAATGGAATATAGCCTAGTAGTTTATTTATATTAAATAATATAACATCCCCTTGCACCACAACACCCTGACTATACTAATCCAAATTAAAATAAAAATGTTTGGTAAATTACTATTATATTATTAGTAATTTTTAGTTTGAATATTTTTAGCCTTAGTAAAACCGGAAGTGACTTTGTACTCATTTCACAAATGTTATAAAATATTCAATTTTGGTTCAAAAATATGCTTTCTGGCAACACAAAGTGGAACCACTTTTGGAACCACTTTTCCTACCTATTGTATCAATTGTAGACTTGGCCCATTGGGGCTTAGTGATGGCTAGTATCAGTTAAAGTGTGTGTACACAGCATTAACTATTTTGGGGTTAGAAATTAATTATTTTTATTGCGGAGTTAGTCTAAACTGGGAGATAATACTTATTGCCCCATTGCCCGGCTCCTATCACCCCAAATGCTGATTTTGGGGGTATGACAATAAATGTTCAATTAAACCCATTTAAAGTATATTTAATCTTAATACACTTTGTTATTATTTGTATATTCTGTAAGATATGTTAGAATAATTTTGCCATATTTTCAATACTAAAAAATTCTTAGATTAGTAGAAATCTTTAAAAATGTACAGGTGCTAAAAAGTGTGGCTCTTAACGCCCTCCTTTACCCTAAGTATTTTATTTTACGAAGTGTCTACTCGGAATAAGATTTTTCGGCAAAAGATAGTTCTGCGCATGCGCAGTGACCTATGGCTAGGGTTAGGGCTAGAATGAGGGTTAGGGGTAGGATTAGGGATAGGGTTAGGGATAGGATTAGGGTTAGGGATAGGATTAGGGCTAGGGTTAGGGTTAGGGTTAGGGATAGGGTTAAGGATAGGATTAGGCCTTAGGGTTGGTATTAGGGTTCTGCGGTTGTAAACACACGCATGCGCAGTACCATCGAAAACATCGCCGCTAAGTCGTAGTTTCTCTCCATTGCGCATGCGTATCGCATGCGTATCTTATTCCGACTAGAATCGGCCTTTATTTTATGACGTGTAGATCTGACGTAGATCTCTAGATCTAAATCTAGATCTATGTCATTAATTGGGGATAAGAATAGAAATAATCACTACCTTAGAAGGTTCATGTGAAATTCGAATATTTTCTTTTGAAATCAAGGTCTTTTCTATCTTATTTAATTTTTTAATAAGCTTGTTGCTGGTTTTTCGTTTGGGTTTTACATTGAGTAAATCATTTTCCATGGGGGCTGCCATCTTTTTTCATTTCAATAGAACTCGGAAATTCTTTGATTCGCCAAGTTACAAACACGCAGATTATAATAATATTATAATAATAACTAGGCCTAATGCATTTTTTAAAAATACTGCACAGTATAATATATTCAAATAATTCAACACTTGCATACTCCGGTTTACCATGAGAATATACTCCTATTCTTTTAGAAATGCCAGTTGATTGGTAAGTTTATTGTTTATGGTAGCAGTGAAGTCATGAGTCCTATTGTATTTTATCAAGATCTATAAATTTGTAACAAATTTTCTTTAGAAAATAGTTTCATTTGTAGCTATAGTATTGTCCATTTTTTTCTACAGAAAGGCATTTTATATGAAAATCATTCATATAAAATAAAGTGAATAGTTAATTTATGCAGCAGAAAACATATGCTAACACTAGCGATTTGCTTTGTAAAGATTACTTTTCACTAAGTAAGCAATCAAGTGGTCTGATAGTTATCAGGAAGTGAAGTCAAAGTAGCTGTTACTAAAAGTGTTGTAACTGATGTGACTAATTTTTGTCTGGTATGGGTGGATATACTAATGCATTAAAAGATACTTTTCAACCAGGATTTTAACCTCTGGTTTGTAGGGTGCTTTCTACAGCTATGAAGTTGTGTAGAAATTGTATAAAATAATGTGCCAAAATTCAAAATGGCAATAACAATAAATGATCCTAGAACATGATGTGTTCAACATTATACATATCAATAGTTTCCATTGCTTTATTAGATCCATTGCCACATCTATATGTATATGCACATCTTTAACAAATGGCAACAACGCTATTATGGAAAAATTTGCTGCTGGCCTGTCATCTGAAAAGTTTTAGAGCCATTCATGATTCATGTTAGGTCTGTGCTCTTTAAAATTTCTACATTTTGTATGCGTAAAGTTAAGAAAACCTAAATTTTGAATCTATTGAAAAGTAAAATGAAAATCTAAAAATGTTCCAAATGTCTAACCCATCCTTTTACATTATTGATTTGAAGGCTGTAAATTACATGACGTATTACATAATATCTCTGCATTAAAACAAAATAAAACTTGAACCAGTCAACATTAAAACATTTCAGTATCTTTATTCAATGCCTCAGTATGATGTAGTGCATTAACAATAGCAGTTACTCAACAGTTTTCAACAATGCATAAATTCCTCTTATTACTAAAGAATAAAACTATAACATTAACATTTTTCTTTTCATCTAACATTACAAAAGATAAATTTCATCATACAACAGAAATATCAAATTTGTTCTACTTCCTTTAAAAAATTACTACAGTAACCTAACAATCTATACACTTGAAAGTAAATCATACAAGAGCTAAGTGACATCCAAATATCAACCAACTATTCATTTTAGTAGAGGTTAGTACACCCCAATGAATTAGATTGACTCAGGCAACTGTGTCTAAAATTACATTGTTATGGAATTCTACAATAGGAATATGCTATTGCTTTATAGCTTCCTTTTAATTAAAAGACAAGTCATACATAAACAAAAAACAATACTTGTATTCTTTTAGCATTAAAAAGATGTAAAAAGGCCTGAGAATTATATTTAATAAATTTAAAAGCAAAAATTGTTTTTGCATTTTAAGTTTTAGAAGAATGATAAACATTTCAGACATTATTTTATCATCCGCACCGTAAAATTATTTTTTCACATACATCAGCTTATTTACAACATTTCCATCCTACCAGACACAGGATGGATATTCAACATTCAGCTGCACTGTTCCATGAGAAAGTTGATAAAGTTAGATATGAATGGCACCTTAGATGAATAGTTGGATCACTTCTTTTGCTTCTTGGACGAGCTGTATTTAAGAAAAATATTAAAAACCATTTGTATGATACTGATCTCAAATGCTTCATTAAAATAACATAAGACAATGCACTAGTCTTTGAAACGTCTAGTGGTAATGTGTGTAAAATGTGCTATCTTTAATACTTTAAAACTACTAAAATAGCCAAAGTACTATCTTTGAACACTGTTAAAAATCTTGTGTTAAAATTATACTATACTGCCTAAAAATATAAATTTTGTTCCAATAATAAAATGAAAGGATACCTTTTTTCTCTTTTTTCTTTTATTTTTTGTTTAGGTGATCCCTCAAGGTCTGTAAATTGTTCCTGGTGGATAACAAATTTTAATACAAATTTAATATACTAGTATTGACTTGCGTAAAATTACAAAATACAAGAATAAAATGATTATGTAATATACACATACTAATAGTGCAATTATCTTTTTTATTAAAAGTAGCAAACATAAAATAAAGCTTTGCCTAAGTTACATGGAGAAAAGGATCTCTACCTTTCTTGATGAGTGGCTTTGTTTAGAAGGTTTTTCTTTATGGTCTTTTTCTACGTAGAGTTTGACAGAAGATCCATTAGGCTCACCATTCAACTTTCCTAATAGACAATTGTAAACTGTAACTATACACTACTTACGCAAAAAACAACAAAAAAAAAACATAAGCTAAAATGTAAGTTACAGATTTCTCTTAGCTCATTAAGAGATAAACTTACTTGTTGTAGAATAGTGATCCTCACTTTTCCTTCTCTTTAACTGATCCACATCATAATTTTCCACTGAATGGTCCTGTGAAGTACCAAAATAGTTACTTTTACTTTGCTATTTTTTAAATGGACATTTGTTGTATGAATCTATTCTAGCCAAACTAAATATAGCTGTTAGAGGTCAGTTGTGGGTGAGATAGAAATAGGTTAGAATAATCAAGAATTAGGGGAGAGATATCTGGCAAAGAAAAATTACATTATACTGACCCTCTTTTTTTCCTTCCTTTCTTTATCACGGTCTGCTTCAAAGGCTTCATCAACTTCTAGACTGGTGGGACTCTGTTTAAAAAAAAGTGAAGTAGTGTAAAAATTGCATAAAATGATGTACCAAAATTCAAAATATTCCCCATATTTTGTACAAGTCAATGCCTCAAGGTAAGGGTGGTTGGACCAATGTCTTGGGTTTGGATGCCAGGTTCATTCCCTGAGTACACCCAGCTGTGATGGGTACCTAGCACAAGTTAGGGAAAATAAAAGTGGCTGGGCATATTACTGACCACACTATTACTTTACACAGCAAGGTGAGCTCTACTTTCTCTGCCCTACAGACCACCAGATCTGAAAGCATAACAGCACGTGTTACATTGTTTTCTAGCACAATGCCTCACCTTTCTGTGCTTGCCTCGAGCCTCCAGCGCTGACTCCTGCAATCAAGAAGTAAGTTGGTGTGGTTGTTGAAGAACATGTCAACATGACATGCAGCAGTTGTGGTGGTAAAGAAGGAGATGAAGATGAAGTTGGTTGTGCAGCTGGCGTTGGTATACGAGCCTAAGATCCCCTTTGCTCCAACCAGTTCAGGTGAAGGCTCATTCAATATGCCCTAATTTCCTGTCTCAGGTTTTCTACTTCTTTTAAGGCTCAAGGGTTTTTTTAAAATGTATAGTTTATATTTTTTTGGTAAGATCAATTAGGGCATATTGAATGTGTTACTGCTATGTTTGAGAGTCTATTATTATGATATTAGGTATTTAATATCCGTGAAGCAGAGGGAGATGGAAAAGATAAAGAGATGGTCTGATTTCGTGACTATTTTCTTCAGCTAAAGAAAGAAGTTTAAGTTGAATAAAAATTCATTTTTACATCATTCCTTTAGCTTGGGTGAGATGTAAATAAGTAACTGAAGAAGAAACAGAACATAATTTGTTTCCTACAAATATAAAATATCAAAACCAGTATAACAACTAAAAGAAAAAATCAAACTATAAATAGTACAAAACTTTACAAGTAGTTGCAAAAGTTGAAGTACTTATTACAATTAATAGCCAGCTAATTTTTTAAAGTGACATATTGGTTTTATAAGTTATAAAAAAAAAAAAAAAAACAAATAACTTAATAAGGTTCTTTTTTTTTCACTTATTTAAAAAAGAAAAACTTGTTTTAAAAAAAGGAATATCTAGGGATCATTTTTTTTCCTTTTGTAAATTGAAACATGATGTAAATGAAACTTAAGATGTGCATAGTTCATAAATTTTATTGTAATGGGTAAACAAAAAAATACCAACTTATTTAAAAACTAACAAAATGAATTTAGTGAATTAATTTACATACTCTACATGTAGGCTACGGTTGCAAACATCACTCTAGCAAGTGAGTATTAAAAAACCCTCAGTATAAAAATTTGTTAACTGATTCTTTTTAAGCACAAAAAACGCATGTTTTATACAATCACAACTGTCAATATTTTAGCTGTCTTTAAAACAATCATCAAATAAATTTAACATCCACAGAATAGGGAAAATCTTGAGGAAGTTAAGTGCTGCCATCTGAGCACCCAATCACAACGATCCTTGCATTGAGAAACTGAACACAAAGTTACACAAAAAGAGAAATTTTTCATGAACATCCATTTCATCAAATCACAGCAGAAATATAAACTCTTTCAGTTGACTTTAAAATAACGGGAACAAAAAACAAATCACCACTTCAGATACAAAAACTATTTCATGTCATCTTAAATAAACCACCAAACCACACACAATGAGAACTCAAATCACTGTGGAAAAAGCTACTAGAGGGGTAAGAACACATCTTGAAATCACAAGCTGCTCAATGAAATATTCCATTGGAAGAATTCACCAAATAAAATTCTAGTTAATGTTATTCACAGAAAGTTTGACTATGCATCCCATTTTTTTTAGGTTATGACAGAGATTTGTTATGTATATGCCAACTGAAAAATGTAATTAAAAGATTAATGATTTTAAGTAACACAACTTGTAATTGTGTCTGTATCTTAGTTGTCATATTAGTTAAGTAAGTAATGTATATGCATGAAAATGAAAGTAGTTTTATGATTTGCTTACACACTGCTAGAGTTACATAATACTACAAGATTGTTCTTCAACACAGTCAATTCACTTATTGCAAGGACTTCAAGTAGTTGAGATGAAACATTTTTTCTATTATGCAAGAGTCTTTTAAACAAGATGTGAATAGCTTTAAATTTTTAGTAATGATGTATGCCTCACAAGATCCAACCGATGTCCGAGTTGATCCAGTTGACATCCGTGTTGATCAAATTCACATCCGTGTTGATGATGTTCACATCTGTGCGGATGACACTAGGACTAGATAATGGTGGATGACCCTTGAAATGCTCCTTGAGTTGAATGACTTGAGTGATATAGATTTTCGTCACATTGTTTCATAGCGACTGATTCTTTGCTATAGGATCTTTACAATACAGGGCTTTCTTAAAAGACGGACTCATTTTCTATTTAGATGTACATCAAGAATTTTCATGTTTTGATTTTTATTTCAATGCCAATATGCTATGTCATTATAGAATCTTGTTTTTTCTGGATTTTGCTTGCTCTCCTTAGGTTTTACTGATGAGATCTGTCTATAATGTGACTGGCATTTACTGGTGATCTTTTTATTTCATATTAGATTTCTGGACTGAAGTATCATTTATCAGTAAGTTCAGTCTTGACTAATCTTTTACTAGCAATCAAGATACATTTGGATATTAGTGAAACTTCAGCTTCTGGCTTTTCTCTAGGATGTAGGGAGCAGATCTAAACATATGATTGGACATGAGCTACTGTTTGTGCTACTTATTGCTACTTTGGCCATCTTATTTTAGGTGGACTTCTGCTACTGGGTGGGCATCTTGTTTTAGTTGGGCGTCTGCGACTGGGTGGCCATCTTATTTTAGTTGGGTGTCTGCTACTGGGCGGCCATCTTGTTTTAGTTGGGTGTCTGCTACTGGGTGGACATCTTATTTTAGTTAGGCGTCTGCTACTGGGCGGCCATCTTGTTTTAGTTGGGCGTCTGCGACTGGGTGGCCATCGTCTGAACAGCTGCTACTAAGTGGACTTCTGCTACTGGGTGGATATCTTTTTACTGGTGGACATACGCTACTGGGTGGATACCTTCTTATATGTGGATGTCTGTTACTGGGTGGACATCTGCTACTGGGTGGATATCTTCTTTAAAGTGTTTACATCTGGGTTTACATCTTCTTTAAGGTGGCCCGGCTGCTATTAAATGGACATCTGCGACCGTGGACATCTAAGATAGGCATCTTAAGTTTAATGATTTGATAAACTTAACAGCAGGCAGTATGGACATCTTCCTGTAGCTCTTAACAATATGTTTGCCAACATCATCTTTTATCTTAATCTAGTATTATGCTTTTTTCATTCAGGACAGCAAGCTCTCAAATATCTCGAATTTCAGCATCTGTTAAATCTTTCATACAAGGACACAGGTTTTAGAGGTGTCAGGCAAGGTTGGTGAAGCAGAGTTGGGGATCTTTAATCAGTGGGTTCTTTCTCAGGAGTTTTCTCTTTCACAGTGCCATCTGTTTCTTTTCTCTACTATCAGGAAAGGAGTTTGTATGTTACTGTAACACAACCTCAATTCATCATAGGCTCTTCTACTCTCCAACATTTCTCAAACTGGTGTCTTAATCTACTAATCTTTCTACTCTTCAAACATAAGCTGCTAGATGTGAACTTTTTCTCCTTCATCTTCTACATTACGTTCAGGACTTTTAATTCATCTTTTCTTTGCACTTCCCTCCTTTATCACAAGAGCTTGAGTTTGCTAGACACCCATCACTTTTGAGATGCAGACTCGCCTCTGGACAAAACCCTTGCATTATACTTCTATACTAACCTGAGATGAACCACTAGCTTCCAATCTTCTTCGTTTAGACTCTGCAGGAAAAAATTCCAAAAGATAACATTACTGTCTTACAAAATTTCAAAATTAGCAATTGATGGTAAATACTAAATTCTTTAAGAAAATAGCAGTCACCTTTAAAATCATCTACAGGTGTAAAAGTATTACCTCTTTCATCTAGTTGTTTAGGTGAAGGTTCTGCACTTCGTCTGTGTGATGATGCTGACATATGGCTACCTATCCCTCCATCATAATCTTTCAGCATCCGGGCAGCATGTCTCTCTTCTTCTTTTGCTGATGCCTCACGCTCCTTTCTTTCTCTTTTTTCTTCCTTCGCTTTCTCTTTTGCCAGCTTGTTGGCCTCGCGGTCCTTGCGGTCACTTTTCTTAGGCTTCTCTTCTTTGGCTAGTTTTGGTTCTTTGTACCTCAGTCCATCTTCAGTCCCATCAGCCGGCCTCATGTTATGCTGGTCTGGGCTGTCTCGCAACTCTCTTTTAACGCTGAAAAAAAAGTGAAATATTTTAACTATAAACTAAATTGAGTAGCAATATGTGAATCTACAATTTCCAATTTAAATATAACATACACTTGAAGAGAAACAAAATTTTGAAACAAGCATAGCACTATTCAAGTAACAACTATTAATTTATGGTACTGAAGATTTATGAAAATGTGCTGCTCATAATATCACCAAAGGATTCTTCATCTACTGTAAGCAACACAAACTACAAACATTACAAATTGATAAAAGATATAAATTAACAGTAGAAAAACCACTCACCCAACTCCGTTGGTCTCCATATTGCTAGCAGCTTTTAATTTTGCCTCTTTCTTTTCTCTAGCTTCCTTTTTTTCACTTGTCCTTTCCTTCTTCTTATCCACATCTCCTGTTTGTGCTCTTTCTCTTTTCTCTTCTTTTGTTAAAACTTCTTGTTTAACATCTTTGACACGACCTTTTTAATGAAATAAAATAAAATACACTGAAATATAAGTACAGTAATTATGAACTATTTTAAATTATAACATTTTTTATCTCAATTAGAAATTATTTTTTTCCAACATGATATCTGGAAACATTTATTCGCATCTTGTAGAAAGCATAAATGAGTTGTAGGACAATGCTCTGACCTTGTATGATTTTGTTTTTCAAAGATCTCACCAGTCCTTTGTGGCAGAGAAAAGTAGCTCTGTATGCAATAAAAACCCAGTTAATAAAACAAGTAACATTGCAACAGCACAGAAAATAAGGTATCTACCATCAAGATCTCCCTTTTTTGATGTGGCTGTAGAGTTACCATCAGCTTGCCTTTGCTGAAGAGCTTGGTTCTGTGATGCCATGTTTGCTGGCTTTTTAGGCTGGGGAAGTAGTAATAAAGTGATATTGTGTGAAATAATCCAAGCCTTCACTAACAACACAACATAATAGTAAACTATGGTGTGTTCAAATACCTCCTTGATGTGAAATTCAGTCTCTTGCACCCATGTAGCTTTTTTATTTTTCAGTTGTCCAGCGTAGCTGTTTAAAAAAAAAATAAAACTGACTTCATCTGATACAACAATGTATTTTCAATTACTTGAACTAACGTTAAACTCATAAGTGAAAAAGATTTTTTTTTAATGTGTTAATTTAACAATCCAGCTACCCAATAGCCAAAGCATAGATATCTGGTCTTTTGTCCTTTTCTTCTTTACTCAGTTTGTCTACTCTTCTCTCTATCGCCATTCCTATTTGAGTCATGCGTGGGAAGTGTGGCAGAATCTGAAGTTCAAGTATTAGAAATTACATTTAAAATAAAATGCATGGTGACATAAAAATCTATTCAAATACCTGCACACTTATTTATTAAATACTGTAAAATAGTATCATAAGTGTTTTACAATGAATAAAATTAAATATAATGCATATAAATTATGAACTAGCAAAGTTTAGTTAGACCAGATTTTGAGTGAAACTAGTCTAGGCAACATGGTATAGAATCAATAATCTAGTACAGAAACAATATTAGCAACATACTTTGGTAAGCACTATCAGAGAGTTCCTTATCTGGCTGTAGTTTTTGGATTCCAAACAGGTGATAACAGACTGAATAAAAACAATTGTTTATAAATCTGGTGTGTTTTAAAATTGTTAAATGACTTATTTTAATAAGGGTAGCTCTATAAATTACAATTATATCTACATTAAAACGATGATATACTTGAATATAAAGTCTACTTACTTTAGTCAGCCTGAAATGCCACTTGTGGCACACATGTCTGTAGTTCTCATAATCAAGTCTGTCCATTTTATTGTTCTGGTCTGTTCCTTTACGGAACACTGTAAGGAACCCGGGGAAATTGTAGCACTCCTAGACATAAAATAAAATACATTTTAGACCATTTTGTAAGCATAGTTTTTATATCTTCAATATAAAACACTAAATGACTTTTTTCACCAACCTTTTCATATATGGCTGGGCTGCTATGCCACCTCATGATAGTTTCAAGGGCACTACATAAAAATCTACCATATCTGCGAGCTTCATTTTCAGTGCAGCTTGTCACAGTGTAGGTAATATCATTAAATACCTAATTTGTACATCAGAAAAATAAAAATAATTAGCCATTCACTAACTATGTAGATATTTTCAGTTGAACCTCAGTTTTAAAAGATGAAAATGAGACTAAAATATATTAAGCTTTAAAATTTTCCATCAAATATAAATAATAAAGCCAATATTTGCAAAATAAAGTTAAAACAAAAAAAACTCACCCTGTCATAGGTAATTAAGGTTGAAAAGTTGGGTGTTTTAAGATTGTGAAGTACTTGAATGAAGTGACCACAATAAATAGCATCACTGGCAGTGAAACAACAGCGAGGAAATAAACAATACTGCAGCAAGTTTGTTGTCATTTCAGATTTTAAAGTACCTGAATAAAGAAAATGTGTCAGCAGCTATCTTTTTTTAGTTCAATTCATGATAAAACTACACATAGTTAGAGAATAATATATTTAAAAACAAACTCTCGTAAAAAACCACCATTGCTATCCTTTGATTTGAATGTACATTAAAATACACACAAACCTGTAGGGAACCAGAGTTCTTTCTCTTTCTCTAACCTCTCCATCACTCTCTGCACATGCTCGGCCTGTTTCTTGGCTTCATCCTTCAGTTTATCAATCAAAATCTTGCAACGCTCTTGCTCTTTGCGTTTTTTACTAGCAGGCTATAAAACAAACATCAGAAAATATTTAACTTCAGACTTAAAAATGAAACACGAGGTTTAATTGGTAAAATGATTCTTAATACAGATAAAATATTTTTTTTTTAACAACAGGAACATTTGCTCTAAACTTTTTATCAATTTTGTTTTTAATATCTGGATGTATTTCAATTTCACTTTAATTATAGTATTTACATCATTTCCAGGGGAAAAAAAATTCCCCGTAATGTATACAGCACTTAAAAATATATGTGTAATAACGAACTCATGCTGGTTAATTATGAGAGCTGAGCTACATAAAAAAAATTATGAGAACTGAGCTAAGTAAAAGAAAATCAAACACTTATCTGAACTTACCATATCTCTGTTAGCTTCCACAGCACTAATTTGGCTTTCTTGCAATGCTATTTGTTTTTCATATGCTGCTTTAGGGACGTGTAGGTCATACATAGATAATGACCAAAAAGTGATATAAAACTGAGGTCTGAAAGTAATTGAAGGATAGATATTTTTTAATAAAATTTTTAATTATAATGAAGAAATGACTATATACAAAGAAAACAGCATAGCAGATAAATTAGTAAGTAACTTACGTTAGATCATCCCATATTTTTGATGAAAAAACTGGCTTTATGGCTTCAACAACTGGTCCCATGATTTCTTCAGAAGCTTTGATGTAACATGATATCTAACAGAAACACAGATTAATAATTAAGCATTAAACATTATACCATATCTTGATAAAGAATCATAAATGATTTCAAGCAACTGAAAGCAATAAATCAAAACAGAAAAGGCTAATTTTTTAAACAAATTAACTAAATTCTGTGTACATGTACTAGATTGTAAACTCACTTTATTTGTTTTTTTGTCTTTTTCCTTTTCTTTATCAAGCTTTTTCATTTCATCATATTTCACCTGAATGGGGTAGAGTATTTTTGTTAAATTGGTTTAAAATGACAATTTTAGTAAGTTACTTTTTATTTAGAGAACAAATTCCTCAACAGAAAAATCAGTTTTATTACTAAAAGTGGTGTATAGATGTTTTAAATAATGCCAAAGAACTGGTTCACCTGACATTTTATATAAAATACAAATTTACCAGTAATAAACTGAATGGACAATTATATAAACTTACATTTATGGCATGTGCATACAGAGGTCTGGACAGAAAGAAGGCAGCAGAATGTGGGATATGGTAAGTAGATAACAAGACATCAACAGCGGGTAGCCTCTTGACAAATTCCTCTGTACTTAGCTGCATGGACAGAAAGCTACCAAACTGGACCAAGGTATCCTGACACTGAAATTATTCAAAAACATTATTACACTGACAAATACAACATTTTAATCTAGTTAAGTTCACCAGAAAGTGTTTTAAGCACAGCTACCTGATCATAGAGCTTCCCAACTAATTTTAGATGCTTGTTAGCATCTTCAGCAAATACTGTACTATCTCTCTGTTGAGACATAAGTAGGCACAGGGACAAGGCGAGATCATGCTCTAACAAAGTGTCTTTAAGTCTTGTTGAGGATTTTTTGGTATTCCGAACCTGAGAAAAATTACTGCCCTGCAAAGAGAAACCATGTGATAAAACGTAATACTTGATGACATTCAATAAAAATGAGCAGCCTTAAATCAGTGTAAAAAAAATGTTACCTCTTGTTTAACAAGTTCACCACCAGCCATGGCTTCCAGCTGATCATCTGTTACTTCTTCAGATATCTCAATCCCTGCCATCTTTTGGACCACCTCTCTAAGTAGCAGCAAGTCAGTGCTAGACAAAAGAAATTTGGAATCACATTTCTTACTCACAGGTGAAAGGTTAAAATAAACAAACAAAATGTTTATTTTCCTTTTTTCAAATATTTTTCAATGCTAATAATTATAAATATACCTTTTTCCTGCCTTTAACTGATTAGCCACATACTGTAGTATGCCAGTCAGCTCTACTTGGTATTTGCGACAAATAGCACCAGCAAAGTTAGCTAAACCTATTTTAGATTAAAATAGTATTTAATTAGGGATTTCGGTACATTAATTGATGAATGAACTAGACAAATAATTATAATGAGCTGCAAAGAAATTATTTTGAATTTCTAAAGAATATTAATACAAATATTAACTTACTTTGAAGCCACAGAGATATGTTCATGTTATCTGTTTTCATTCTGTCTTTTTCGGGGTTGGCAATAGCTTCAATAATGCAAACTATTTTATATTTAAGGTGTAATAAACATGCAATTTTATACAGCTTCATAAACCAAAAACACAAAGAGATAACATCAGATTAAGAATTTTTACACATTTATTTCTATACACCTGTTATTTATCTTTTGAAAAATTATTCAGGATTTTAATTCTACAATTAATTATTCCTTTACACTAAGAGCATTCACCTACTAAAATCACTCAAATTTGTGTATCAATACTTGAAAGTGAAAAGGATACATGTCAACATGTCATATGAAACAGTAGTCAGGTATTTCAGAGAATCTACAACTGGTCCAATCAAGTTGTCATACCTTTGAATCTGATTCAACACCTAGATGAGAGAAAATTAAGGGACTATTATTAACTTAAAAGATTAAAGCTGTTATTCAGTTCAGACAACTGGAAAGCTGTTCTAAACTGTTTTAACATATCTAAAAGACTGAATGTACTTTTGACTTACATATTCAAAAACAATGCCCGGGTTATTGTGACTAAGTTTTCCAAGCTGTCTTCCAGAAGGCTTGACAGTTTCTTTTGACAGACGCCTGAAAAGTTAAAAACTGAATTATTTTTTCCAGCTCAATAATACACAATAAATCATACATCAAGGAAATAAATACTGTCTCTCCTTACTTCATAATGTACTTGGCTCTATCAAGACAATCTGCTCTGGCTCGAATTAGAATCGGGTAAATGAAATACATTTCATTCTTCCATGTTCCATAAAGCCGGTACCTGAAGACAAAGCATTTTAAAACTAAGAATATTTTTAATAAAATAATTCTACCATTAAAAAGATGGATTATATTTAGCACTTAGTATTTTTTTTAGTGAAGCAAAGCAACTGTTGATCACAGACTTTTGCCACTTTTTTAGTTAAATAATACAACAGTTGATGAGTATTTTAGGTTAACAATTTGAAAGCAGAATGTAAGTTAAAAACTTTAAATAAAATAATAAAACAGGCAAAGCAGATTACCTGATTTCATAAGGATACAGTTTCAGAAGGCTCCACAGTTCTTCAGCCATAGAGCAATTGCTTGGTAGAAGAGACATAGATGGCAGTAAAACCTCCTCAAGAGCATTTAAAAACCCGTAATAAGCTATTTCATCTTCTGGGCCGATACCTCCTGAATGGCGCTGGAAAGGGAAATTTGAAAACTACAGTAACAATAGTTGAATAAAAGAAAACAAAAAAAAGTATGGTTAGAGTCATTTTTAATTTTAACCAAAGTGCAAACTTATAAATTTTTACCTTAGACATGAATGTTTTAGCCAGCCTCATGATTTTAACCATCAAAACTGGATCTTTAGAAGCATAGGGACCAAGATAATACAACATTGGCATTGCCAGGTGATAGAGTTGCTGAAATGTGTGAGCCTGGGGACTATCAGAGGTATGCACACATGTTGATCTCTTCTTGGCCAGCAGAGGACTCAGTCCTGTGTTTCTGGAAGAAAAAGAAAATTAAACAGGTATAGATATAGGTTAGTTGTGATTCACACTGGTGAATTGAAAAAAAATTTTTTTTTAATTCTGTAACGGCTCAAAAAATAAATGTAACAATCATAGTTGCTTCTATTGTAAGCTGGGGTGAACTTACTTCTCATAAACTGGCTCAATGACTCTGTGTATGAGTGAACACAATGCAGATGAAATTGACGGATGCACCACAGCAAAATTTTCAGGCAGACGATCAAGTATTGCTTTAGCATTCTCCCATGCACCAATATCTAGTAGGGCTTCACAAAGACCTAGCTTTTGATTATTTTCTCTCTGAAAGTTGATTTAATCATTATGCATTTTAAATCTAATAAAAATGTTGTCAGTACAAAGGATAAAAATAAACAACATGATAATAAGTTTTACCAGGTCAATAATCTGCTGCTCGTCATCTTTCTTGTCATCCTCTTTTTTGTCTGATAAGACAACAGTGTTTAGCTTTCTGGCATAAGCTTTAGCATCATTCACTTCTTTGTTGTAGAATGGAATAATTTCAGAATCTTCTGGCAGTAGCTGAAAATATTTTAATAATGCTGAATACTTAAATATCAAACTCACTATAATTAATATGTAATGTAAATAGGGAAAAGTTCTACAAAAATATGTTTAAATACAGTATCCATTGCATAGTTAATTCAGCCATGGGAAAAGCATGTAATTTTAAAACTTACTTTACCTATACAATTTTAACTGGTAGATTTGGTTAAGATCATACAAAACTATTATCAGCTCTAGAGTATTTATATTTATGGACAAATTAATATTTAAAACAACAGCAAATGAATGTAAACTTACATATGGATATAAATCATCAAGATCTACCAATTCATGTTTTAGCAACAAAGCTGCACATTTAAACAAAGATTTAGGTGTGGTCCAGTCAGCAGCTTGCTGTAAACACAAGTACAATCAATGCAATTATATAACAACAAAAAAAAAATAACAAAGATGTTTTTTTTACATACAGCGAAATTTACAAATCACATGCATTCAAATAAATTTCCTTACCTCTCTAAAATTAAATTTGAATCCAATTATATGACAGAGTGTGAGTTTGTCAATAATGTAAGCACGTAAGAGAGGAATATAGAATTCATGCTCCTCTGGGTGGCATTCAAAAGACTCAAGAATTGTGTCAAGAACTCGATTAGGATCAAGATCAAAACAGCCTAAAATAAAGGGGGTTTAAGAAAATTGTATTTAAAAATTGTAAATCAACATTAAAGGGCTTTCATAAAGTGTAACACTAATTTAGCATCATTAACTAACAAAAACTTATGTCATCACTAAAGTAATTTGATATTAAATAGACAGCTGTATTGCCTGTAATCTAGTAGTACAATTATACTTACCAATCAATGATTTAATGTTTTGAAGAACTTGCTCCCATGAATTCTTTATTCCAAAGTCAGGATTTAACTCAGTAATAAGCTTAGAGTAGCCTTCACTTTCTTCTCTCAACAAATTGAACTTCTGTTGTTTGTAGCTAAAATTATTATAAAAATATCAGCTTATGATCACTTTCTATACCAGTGTGCATTTAATATAGTTATTATCTATTTAGTATTAAACAGCCTCTACATTAGAAGCCAAGGAAATCAAAGTTCAATATCACATGATGTATAATTTTAATTAAATATCTATATTACATGAGTTTTTATAGTTTGTGATGATAAATTAACATAACCCAGGTTGAAATTGATATTAAAACCATAATTACACAACACAATGAAGCATCAAAGTTTGAACTTACTACAATCTTGTTTTGGTCTTCACATATTTCTGGTTGAATCCTATTTGAGACCCAACTAAACCTGCAGGTTCCAAGGAATCTTGATCAAGTCTTTCCTTTAACAGACTATCAGGCACAACTGTATTCTACAGATAAGAATATTATATTTTATTATTTTATTTATTAGGGTAGAAGGTGCAAATGAAATAATTCTCAAAATTAAGTTTTCTCATATTTGATAATTTCAAATAAAATATTAATAAAACCAAAATATAAAATTAAAACATTTTATTTTTATTCTTGTCTTTAACTCTTTAAGTAATGAGCATATTAAAATTATTTATGGATGCAAATATGCAACAGGAAAAGCAAATAATATTCAGTGTTAAATGATATTTGAAATTATTAATTTTCTTACACAATTTGTAAAAAAAATATTTAAAATATAAGTTGCTATTTGATTAGTTACCCGTAAAGCACCAACAAAGGACACAAATTTTTCCCTGACAGTATCTTCTGAGCAAGTTGTTTCAACATCTGTACACACAAAAAAGAACGCACATAAAATTATTTTAATAAAAAATAAGAAAATTATACATTTTATCTAGATTTTTCAATACCTTACATTATTTTGTACAATACAACTTACCTACTATTCCCAAAACATCAGCAAGTGTGGATGGTAATGATGCAATTGAATCCTGAAATTATTTAACATTAATTTAAAAATGTTGGAATATTACTCATTTAAAACTTAAGAACAAATTACTTGGAAACAAGTTACTCAGTATGGCCACATAAGGATAGTTAGGGTAAGGTTAATTTGTAAAGACAAAGACAGTAATATAAGAATGGTATGGCTTGGCTATTCATGCATTAAGAGAAAAAATAATATCTGCTATAATTAAAGCAGATAAATTATTATTGACATTAAATCTATTAATATGTTTGGAAGTCTTAAGAAATGCATCCAGAATTTAAAACATTTTTTTTTAAATTTCATTCCTATCATCAATTCTGCAAATCTATCATCTTACCTTCAGTTCTGTGAAAGCAGATATAGCACACTCAGCTTTGAGGTGATTATGATTTACAGCATAACAAACTTCATACAGTGCTCTTTTAAAATTTTTCTTTGGCAACAGTTTAACAGTGGATTCAGTCTCACTTAAAGATTTACAAAGCTTTACACTGGAAGATATTTTAAAAAGAAAAAAGTTTTAATGTACCTAAGTATAATATTATTCATAGAAACACATAATGAATGCTTTATAAATGTAATAAACAGTAGGTTAAATATGACACTTTCTATGAATAAACATTATTATATTTTACATTTTAAAAAACTATGAGCTGACCCGCGCCGTAAACATATGCCGCTATCTAGTTGTTTTATTTTCTACTTCTCAGTAATTCATAATTTGTTAATTCAACACTACCAATGCTACAACTGAAAGCAGCCGTCCGTGATGACAGTTTACAGACAACAATGAAAAGATCAAGCAGAACTTGTTTTTACCTCCTTTTAGTTTCAAATCGTTTAAAAACTAAATTATCTGCCCCTAATAGCTGTAACTAATTTGACCCGGCTCTAGGATTGTAAACATTTAGTGTTAACCACAGCACACCAGACTGGTGGGGTGGGGTGCCTAGAGAGCAGGGTAGGAACAGCTAAGCCCTTACATTGTGGTGTCTCGCATGGTCCCTGCGTAGAGAATTATATATATAGATACTGAATCCCAACGCACCTTTTTAAAGAATAACTCACTTTTCATTAGGTTATTAAATATTACTACAACAGTAGGGGTATTATTATTGGTGATCAAGGAATGTTTGAGATTTACACTTATTCTTTGGAGTTTGTAGTAGAATCACCTCATCTTTAGAGCCTACCAAACCATCTAGTCTATTTTCATCTGCGTAGCCTTTGGATTAGATCATTAGACATAAAGTTAAGCCTGTTAAGGGGTTGGTTTGTTCTGCTAGGGATACAAAGGGTCGACTCAAAATATTGTCTGAATCTTCTTAAAAAGGAATGTTTTTTTTACGTTACTTGGTAGTTAACTAAACTAAATACATGTGATTTGCTAATGTAAAAGCTATCCATATTCCTAACCCCAATACTACCATTACCTAACTGATTTCTATCAGTAATTTTATACCCCTTTTTAAGAAGATTCTATTTTATCTAAATGTCTGTTATTAGATTCTAGATCTGTAATTAATGTCTGTGTGTATCACATGTGTAGTGAGTAAATTTACTAAATTGACTTTTTTGTGTATGCCTGCCCTAATCATCATATCAGCCTTTTATCTGGCATACAGTACTGGTATTTAAAAAAATCCTCCACCAACCCAAATGTCTCGCTATCTAGTCTAGATCTACCCGTAATTCTGCAGTATGTCTGCAAGTTGTTTTCTCGCATTTTACCGCCCCGCTGTTTCGCATTTTACCGAGACCCTGCCCTACACCTGTACACTAGGGACATGGATATGACGCGCGATTTGCCGCGGGCGAGGAGAGCTGTTCGCCAATACCGTGATTTTGCGCTACGGCGTTTTTTGCGATGGGCAGTTTCGAAAAAAAAAATTTTTTCCTACAACCCAAATGATTATTGTCATGGTTTTAATAGATTTACAACTAGAAATGGACATCGTTTTTACTTACAACTTGTTTTTTGTTCCAATGGATTATTATTTTATGGAGTTTTTCATTGAAAATAAAGTAAGTTTGAGCAAATTTTTCAGATATAGCATTTTATGGCACAGTAATAAGTTTAAAGGCACAAATAGAACAACCATTTTTCTATATGAATATCAAATTTTTTTAGCGACAATCGGACCCAAAAAGGTTTTATTTGGGACCAAGAAAGCATCTCTGATTTCAACAAACCGGATGCTTATAATAATAGTGATTTAAATAATGAAACTAAAACCGGAAGTTAGTAAAAATCGGAATTTCCCAAATATTGTTAATGACGCTAAAGCAAAATATTAGAGCTGATTTTACAATCAGAGCCATCCATCATCTCCTTTTGCTTTTTATTGACTGATTTTCACTTCTATTGATAAAACATTGATTCTTTCTTGATGTTGCAGTTATATTTCGTGTTATAATTACATATTTATTTAATATGAATTATTTTACTGGAGTTAAGTTTCCCACATAAGTTTCTTTGAAGTTGCGTTGTTAATATTGGATACTATGATAATATCTCTTTTTTGTAATATCGAGCTCATTTGTAACTTTTTCATGTATAAATTGAACTATTAATATATTATGAATAACAATAAACTTAAATCTAGAATACTTTTAACAAAAATACTACATCATAATAGATCTAGAATGCTGTCCAAAAATGATGTCACATTTCTGTGGGGGGGGGGGGGGACGACACTTCGTCATTTTTTCACAATGTGTGATGAGTTTGTTATAGCCTCTAATTTGCGTTTTAAACTTTTTTTTTTGTAAATTGCAATAGACTAATAGAAATTGATTAATATACTTTTTGACCATAGTGACCATAGTCAATATTTGAGAAAGAAACCATGAGCTATGTTAAAAATAAAGTTAAAAATAAAGCTGCAATTTTGAAGGGGTTTTAGGCTCAGGTCATTTTAATAGGGGGAGGGGGGGTCTGTGGCTTTTTGTGATAATGGGTGACAGTGGGTAGTAGGAGACATAATTTTATGGTAGCTGTAGATCATTTTTAATTAAATTCACTGAAAGAAGAAAATCGTTCTAGTTTAGGCTTTTTGGATTTGCAATACATCAGATAATTTTAAATAAGTAGATCTATTCTACACCTACTTTTAACTAGATCTAGAAGATCTATATCTGTCTGTGTTAACACAGATCTTCTGTAATTGTTAACACAGATCTTCTGTAATAAATAACTAAAAATAAATAGTCACAAAAGATGTAAAGATAAAAACGTAAATGTAATTGTAAATCTATTCTAAACAGGTTTTGAAGTTCAGCTGAATTGAAGTCACAGCCTTCACTGCTGGAGTAGCCAATTCCTCAGGATTGTGCATGGTTAGGCCTGGTAAAATTCATAGCCAGAATAGCTATTTCCACAGGGTATCAGACTGCCTTGTTCAAGTTTGTAGAGCGTCCCTGAGTCCACCCAGCTATGATGGGTACCTAACTCACTTCAATTAAAGTTAAGGCAGATGGGCATAGTGCTCACCACACTATCCCTTCATATGCCAAGGTCACTGATACAGCAAACTTTACTTATTTGCCCCATGCACAGTCAGCTACTATAATATCTACATCATTTAAACGTAAAGATGTATTTTAATTTGACATGTATTTCTAATTGCAGGCAGATGTTTATTATGTATTCTACATTAAAAATTTAATACCACATGTTTATGATGATGCATAAACACGATGGATGAAATGTATACAATGTATCAACAAAAAGGCCAATTTTCAGCTAAATATTCCAAGGTTGCCTATAGCAAAATTTTCGTTACAAAATAAGGAGGGTACCCTTGCTTCAAACCCATTTTTATGAAATGAAATATTTTTTTAATTAACTTACATCAATGTGTATTTAAAGTACATAATCACCTTCAAATTTTACTGTTTTTGAATGATATAAGCAAAGAAATTAAAATCAGTTTAGCTTTGTACCTCTTTCTTGTTAGAAAGTAGCTGCGCTGGACAAAAATTACCTTTTAACTTTGACCAACAGTAACAAAACCACATAAGCTAGATGAAATATCTGAACTTTCTGTGAATGTATACAATATTGATAACATTTCAGCAGATTTTCAACTAAATATTCCAAGTGGTTAAAAATTGGCAACAGATGTATGTTGTCTGTTGGAGAATTCTTCGTCACAAAATTAAGGGGGGTACCATAGTTTCATGCCCATTTTTATTAAATAAAATATTTCTTTTATCAACTTTGATCAGTGGGCATATTAAAGTATATAATAACCATCATTAATACTATCTTTAAAGAACATAGGCAAAGTTATCTAAATTAAGCTAGGCATTGTAGTTCTTTTTTGCAAGAAAGTAATTGCGCAGAATAAAAAGTACTTTTTGATTTTGACCATTACTATAACATAACTACATAAGCTAAGTAAAATATTTTTACTTTCTGTGAATGTGTACATTGTTGGCATCATTTAAGCCAATTTTTACTGAGATATTCCATATAATAAAAATTTGGCAGCAGATTTAGTATTGCCTATATAAGACATTTTCTCAAAAATTTTAGGGGGGTGGCCCTCTTGGTTAACATTGCTTTTAACAATTTTTCACATCCACTGAAATTATTTGTATCTTATCCTTTTACTGATATGATAAGCTTGATCCTAGTCAATTTTTATTAAAAAATACCTGGTATTTAAAAAGTTACAGAGGTTTTTGTTCACATCCAAAAAATAAGGGTCACAGAAATTGGAAAAACCCCATTATAAAAAAACCCGAAAATTAAATACGTTAAAAATTCATAACTTTGAAACCGTTTGAGCTAAAATTAAAATGAAAATATCTTTATTCCTGGCTAAATGAGCTCTATAAGATGGTGCTATTACATTTTTCAATTTTTTAAAATTCAAATTTTATCCATGTCCCTACTGTACACCAGAGAACAACGCAACTCAACTGCGACAACAAATCCATGAACAATCATACAATGTTTGTCTAAAGGTCGTAGTTTTAGTCATACTAAAAGAAATAAAACATTCACAATCAATAGCAGTCTTACTATACAAATGGGCTTACAATTCTAATTTTCCCGATTTCTCCCATTTTGGCCCTGAAAGTGTATCTATTGACAAGCAACAATATCCCGATACTGTCGCCATTTTCAGTACTATAAATTGTGGAAGCAGGATATGACGTCAAGAATTTATTCCCCCCCCCCCCCCCCCCCCCCCCCATGCATCATTCATTTCATTTAGGCTTATAAGAAGAAGAGAAGGCGGACAACTTACTTAAGTCTTTAGATAAGGGGATTAAATTTAAATAAAACACATATTACAGGTCTAACTGCCTTTATTATGAGCTTTAAATGCAATTATTTTTTTTTAAAGTTAACTTTTCTCTACCCTTTACACTATATGAAAGATTATTAACGATTAAGCCTTATTTTATTTATGAGGTCACACTCGGGAGGTAAGGGGGGGGGGGGGGGGTAGCTGATTCTAGTAATAGTTTAGAAAGTTACGGTGGGGGAAAAATTCGAGGCAGAGGGGAGCTCAAATGTGACGTCATTTTCATGGTGGTGGAGTCTGACTTTGTGACGAAGGAGGGGGGGGGCTGGAAATTATCAAAGGGAGCTTTATTTAGTGCAAGTAGACCCACCGTAGGGTCTACTTAAGTTTTGCAAACCTATACTTGTCATTTCAATACCTCTCCATGTAAAATACTTGCTTAAAACTCTATCAGTATTTTGCAAAATATTAATATTATGTTGCTAAAAAGGCCTTATAAATGGCACATGCTGATAATATGGATATTGTATGCCCGTAATTTATTAGCTATCTCAAAAAGAATCGGATCCAATATTGCTCATACCAGTTCACCTGGCTAAGCGAAGGATCGTTACTAGCTTACACATATTGGAAAACTTGTAATATAGGCCTGTTATAAATCCGAGCATAAGTAATTGAGCTGTCTAGGATCAATTTCTCAACATTAGCTAGGCCCGTATCAAAGCCAAGCCAACAGACGTTTGATTAGTTTTTATCGATATCCTATGTGGAACTCCTTTGAGAACCGTCCTTAAAATATGATCTTACACTCCTGTATAAAAGGAGAAGGTGGGGGGGGGGGGGGTATAAATTGAAAATATTGCCACTTTTCTGAGTTTCTTTTTTAGTTACCTTTTAAACTGTATGTTAACAGATATTTCGCATGTTTTAAAGACATTTTTTGTGTGTAAAATGTATGAAAAACTGACCCCAAAAAAGCCACATTGTAGTTAACCAAGACACGAATTTAACATTTTCAATTGACCTATTAAATTGTGATAGTCAGAACAGAAATTAAATAAACCGGGAACTTTCTCGAATATTCTTATATAACTAGAAATATAGACATGATTTTTAGTTACTTAAACTTTTAAAAATAGAATCTCATAGAAAAAAGAATTGCGCACCAAGCGAACGCCAAAACAAAATGTGCATAATAGTGCGCAATATTATAAGTACTTTATAAATTTACATGCATTTTTTGAGAAATCGAAAATAGCGTAAATTAGTACTTCCGGTCAACGGAAATTACTCAAAATTTGAAAGAAGGTAGAGAATTAGATCTTTTACTTACATGTGAAATTTCATTTATCTATCTGAAATAGTACTCAAGTTATAGGCTTTTGAAAAATTCAAAGTAGAAAAAGTACCACTTCCGGTTATCGGAAATCGCTCAAAAGTTGATCAGGATCTACGATTTTGATAAAATACTTATAAATGAAATTTCATCAACCTAGCTTTAACGGTACTCAAGTTATCGTGTTTACACACAGACAGACAGACAGACACACAGACATACGGACAAGATTGCAAAATTATGTTTTTCCGTATCAGTGAGTTGTAAAACGTCAAGATTTGTAAAAATCTCGATTTTTTTTTTTTTGCACGATTACAAGACTTTCTCTATATGAGAAAGTAAAAATTACAAAACTTTTTAATTCAATAGAAAAGATCAAACCAGATTTTGTCCATTTAATAAGTTTTAAAATGTAATGTGTTGAATAAATTACATTTAATTACATCTAAAATGGTAATGAAAGAATTACAGAACTCGACAAACAGCTTCATTCATCTGGAGGGCAACCACAAAGTCAGTACACCAGCACAAAATATCCAACATCTTTGAAGAGCTATGACTGGTTCTTGTGGACATCTGCCCAGGCCTTCCCAAAGTTCAACTGTTTCACACCAGTGGTGGACTGGGCTACCTATACAGGAAAGAATCCCAGGGGCCACTAGCACTATTGTGGTAATAGAAAATTTAGGTCAGATATGGCTACTTTGTTTCCAAAGCTTGCTAGCTCTGCCTAGATGATGAAATGATGAATAACAAAAAAAAAGTGTTTGTGTTGTATAAGCCTTTGTGCTCATCCCCTAAAAATGGCAAAATAGAATTACAGAATGCAACGTACAGCTTCCATCGAATTGTTTCATATATGTATCATGGCAATTTAAGAACTACAAAACTCAACACACAGTTTCCCTTTAAATACACATCAACAAGTAAAAAGAGAAAATAATCACAGTGAAATCAGATGATCAGTTGTACTAATTACTCAAGTTATGACCATTGAGTAAATCACTTGATTTAAAGTTTTCCAACTAGCACAGTTACACTTACATATATATATATATATTATATATACACATTTACAAATGCAACTCACCCATTTCCCCCCCCCCCCCCCCCCCTCACAATCTATACCACAGTAATGTAAAATTGGTAATAATTCACCAAAAATAAATATTTTTGTTTTCAATACATTGCTCAATACACAGAGTGATTTAACTATTAGGTTGTAAAGTTGAACATATAAAAATACTGGGAAAACATTTTAAAATTTGACATGAGGTCCATGCACTACATTATTTTAATTAACTAAAACAAAACATTTAACATTAATAGTCTTTCATCCTATATACAATCTAGACAGTTATGCTTCAGTTGTTAAAGGTGTATTGTCCAACAAAATAGTAAATACATACATATATAGTTAACTTAAAAATGTATCAAAATACAACCTAAATCACAAGCCAGAACAATTTCTAATGGCCTTATTTATAAGACACTTCAAAACAATTTTATTTAAGACATTTTAAAGTGTTAAGAAGCTACAATTTTAAATATGTAATTTTAACAGCTTTAAGGTTGAAGATATTGCACAGTGTGCCAGAAAAGAGTACTTTGCTTTTTTCACACGGGAGGTATCTTCCCTATTGGCTGAAAAGAAACAAAAAGTCAATTTTTGAAATAAAGATGATAGTATAATGCTATAGTTTATCCAAGTAGGCCTAAATATTGCTTAAAATGTATGGAAAAAAACTAATGCCTTTCTTGATAAAAACTAAAAGATTACTCCTTAAAAATAAGGGTAGCATATTTTAAAATAATTTATTAACGTACAACACGGAAAACTGGTAGACTTAAAAAGCCAGATCTTACCCTAATAAATATATGGGTTGGCAGCATTTTGTTGATGATGTCATCCATTGTCCCAGGATATCGGATCATGTCTAAGTGGAGTCTCGGCAGCGACACCTGCCCTGCCACCAGTGGGAAGAAGTTGTAGTACAGCTTATATTCTTGACTTGGCAGTACTCGGAAATGTGTCTTTCATTGAGGAAGAAAAATTACATTTAAAAAATATTTAATTGATAAATCAATTATCATAATATTCATTGCAATAAAGAGCAAATTAAATATAAATACATGAAGTTGTCTAAAAATTGTTTGTTAACCTGCCAACCCTACCGTGTACCTAATTTTTAGTGATTTCTAAATTTACTAATCTGATGATTTAGTTAATTTTCAGTACTAAGCTATACCACAGTTTTTAATTTGTGTGAAAAAAATAAAGCACAAACTGAAAAAACAACCAATCATGGGAAAATCTTTCTTTTTAATTACTACTCACAAGAATAGGTATAGAGGACGGCTAGGCTCAATGTATTGGGTCAGGCAAGGTTAATGTAAATATTATTTGATTGAGATCCTTCTTACCTGTTTGTTTCCAGAAAACATGAAGTTATCAGTTGACTCCATGCTGATCTGTATCTCCTGGACATACGGTGTCCTGTTCTTGACTGAGTAGCACAGTGGCAAGAGGGTTTTGACTCTTCCAAACGCAGGCAGTGAAACATGGACTGTGATGGGAATGTGCTCAATGTTTACAGTGGGTAGTGGAAAACTGGTGGTTACATATGGTAGATCTCTGCTGTTGGGGGTTTGTCTACAGAAGAAATGAATCACAATAATATTAATATTGTTACTATACAATAATAAATGTAGCATTAAAAAGACAATATCTTTTTTTACTGTAGTTGATAGGTAAAGACTTCTCACCTCCTCCATTCCAAGGTATAAGATCCAAGCGACACAGAAGGCTGTACACAAGCAGATGCAACTAGGCAAATACATTCAGCCCCACAATCTGACTTGTTTAGACGAACTAAAAATAAACAGCATTTAAGGTCATGAAATAACAGATTAAGACTAATACTTTTTTTTTATAAGAAATGAAATATTAACTTAAAAAAACGTCTGATGCAATAAAGAAATCTTTAACAATGCTAAGAATCATGTGGTATTTATTAACAAACCTCCTGCAATTTGAGACTCATATTCATCACAAGCAGTTTTGATAAATTCACTCTGAAAACAAAATTATGAATAAGGTTATTTGGTTTCTCAGTGCAAAAGTTATTTTTTTAAAATGATGGATATGGTCAAGTAATATTTAACATTTGTGACATCTTTTAAATTGAGAATTCCCTTGAGTACCTCTAGCTAAGACAACATTTTTAATGCTAATAATTTTAATGATTTGTTCTTTGTTATATGTAGAACAATTTTTATTGAAAAGATTAACCATGAACAAGAAATGGAAGAAATTTCCAACCAAAAAAAACTTTTTCATGAATAAATTCTTTTCAAGTTGATCAGAAAAATTTTTAACACGAAGGCTCCAAATACATTTTTAAAAAATGTTTTAAAATGTATTTTAAAATTTTAACCTATTTCAGTCTTTTATAAAGATATTCTGAAATTTTCTTAACTGACATTTTAAGTAACCAATTTTAAGATTACAGCGGCTAACAGTCAGTTAATAATATGTATAACTTAAAAGAACTCACCAGTAAGAGGGAACTATTCTTCATTTCAATTGGCCATGGTGATGAGCAACGAATGTCAGTAGTAAGTAGGAATGGGTCTTCTGCATGAACTGCCTCGATGGTCTCAAACTGGTAACATAAAAGTCTTTCTTCAAGATTTCATTAACCATTTTTTATTATACTTATACAAAATCTTAGATTTACAGAATACAATTCTCTAAAAATAAACTAAACTTGTTTAAAGAAACTTGAAAAAGCAGATTAAAAGATAAAAAAAAAGTAAAATTCTGGAAACTAACTTTGATAGACTCCAACTTAATAGAGACATCAAATGGCCTGACAGTTGAAAGATTGATGAGTTCCTCAGCCTGACAGTCACATGTGATCATCTGCCGTCCAATGACAACACCAACACTGTAATTCACCTGAAATTTTTAGTTTTTTAAAATGCTTTTAGGAATTATTTCTGGTTTCAAAAGAAGGGTTGCTACAACAAAAATTATATTAAAGACTTTTTTTTAATAATTTAAACAAAAACTTCAGAAAATATGTTTTATAGTTTAGATATTATAATGAAAAATAGCACTCACATTTGCAATAATTGTTCTGTTCCCTGAATGAAGACATTTCACATAGAACTGTTGGGTAACCTGTAGAAGTCAATGTTTATTATTTTTAAAAACAAAGGTTTGATATTGTATATCAACATGAAATATTCACTTTGGTACGCCAGATTTAAAAAAATAGTAATTTAATAATGGAATACAAAATGAATAGAACTATGATATGAGGATCTATTCTGACAAAAAAGAAAGTTTTATGATTCAATTGTTAGCAGCAACAAATGAACAAAATCACAAGTAAGAAATTAATTATTTTTTTTAAAATAACCATTCAATACTAGTATGGTAGATCTTTTAAAAAGCACCTTTTGTCCTTTCTTGAGGATTCCAAGATCAATTTCACAGTTGGTGGAGGGAGCAGCATCATCAAACTCTGACACATCATTGGTTACTTGAGCTGGGAATCAGATCATTTTCTTACATTATTTTAGTTAAAATACAAAGCATATTATTTTAATTCAGTTTATCAATGATAAATACAATTTGAAATAATTTATTAGTACAATGTATCTTCTATACAGTATTTAAAAAAATAGTACTTGTTAGGCATTTTTATCAGATATACAAAATCAGTTACTTTAACTACTCTTATGGGTACCTGACTCAAGTTAGGGAAAGTAAAGGTGGCTGGGCATTGTGCAGACCATTTAATCAATACATATGTCAAGGTCACAGAAACAGGTGAACTCTACTTCACTTGCGCCATGGACAGTCAGGTTCAAAAGGGAACCTTACTTTTACTTTATTCAGTTAAAAGAATAAGATTAAACTTACTAGAATTGTCTGGGTTTCCTTCCAATTCTTGAAGTCCTAAAGAAACCCTGGGAATAAAGTATAATTGAAACTTTAGTACGACTGTTTGACTGAATGTGGCTTTAAAAGCTAGAGTAAGCATTTTTTGTCTAAATAAAAAGTTAATTTTTTTCCCATACATTTACACATTATCAGGGGATGGGATCTTTTACCTAACATCATGAATTTGTACTTCCTCTTTGTTTTCTATTATCAGCTGCATGGAGTATACTTCATTCAACAAACATGGAGCTTCATGTTCAACTTTAACCTCCAACAAAGCTTTTCTTGGACTAACTCTGTAAATGAAAACAATTCACTTGACATTTAAAGATTGAGAAAATGTTAATTAAATTCATAATTAACATCATTTCCATTAACTAACCACAGCCAATGCATCTCAAAATAAAAAATTATTAAAGCAAAGACCTCATAATATTTTTCAAGTAAATGATGTCAATAATTTAACCATTACACACTTTAAAATTAGAAATCCTAATTTACATCAATTAACAAAATAAAATTTAAAAATGTAATATTTGTTTTTTAAAAAACAAATATTACATTTTTAAATTTAAAAGTATTTTTTTAAAAATAGAACTGCTAGCACTGACAAAAAAAAAATATTACCTAACAATTGGATTGACCAAAAAGGCATCCCAGTCAACAGGAGCACCTGGCACTGTTGGTTTAATGACTGGCCGCGTGGGCCCTATTGGCTGAACTAGGTTATCACCACCACCACCTGTCCATCGTAAAATTGTGCAACATCCTGCATCAGATCCCATTTCTAGTGCAAGTGATGATATCTAGATAAATTAGTTTAACATAGTTACGGTGCAATAAACTGAAAACAAAGCTCTTAATTAGGTCCATCAATATTTAGGTAAAACAAAGTAAGCTCTTATTTTTATCAATATTGAAATTATTTTTAAAAAGGAGAATTATAGGGAGTTAAATAAAAAGGAAGCAGACCAACCTCTATTTGTTTCCCTACATCTTCATTCAGAGGCAGAAAGGAGAATGTAAAAACTCGAGGTTCGTTAGGTTTAAGAAACAAATCACCAGAATCTGCATCATTCTCTGACGAGGCTGCTGTTGCATGTCTGTCTGTCATCATACAGTGGGCATTGTATTTCTAGATAAAAATTGATCAAAGAAAGTTAGTTGTTAAATTTCGTTTAGCAAAGTTAAAAATTGTAAAGCATTTGTTTGTAAAGAAAATGAGCAGATACTAACCTGATTGGTAAACAGAACCAAAAGCTTAGAGAATCTCACTGGAAAAGGGCATCCTACTCTAAAATTTAAAAAATGAAAGAAATATTAAAAAATCAAGTATTATATTATGAAAGAATAATATTGCTTTATTGCATTTTTTTAGTTAAAAACAAATAGCAGAATTACCTATCCTTGTTAGTATAAATTATATTTCTTATTTTAAAATATATTTTTTATTTCTAGTTTTTTTAATCATAATTTACCCAAATATAAAAAAATAATTTACCTGAGACAAACTTCAACAGTTACCCTTTGATCTGCTGACACCATTTCATTCACAAAGCAGGCTTTTGTTTCAACTAAAAGTTTAAAAACACAATATGTTCATTGTGTAACTTTATTTACAATAAACAACAAGTTAAATATTATTAGCTTAACTTAAAGTGATATTTTTTTTAAATTGCTAAAAATTATACCAGTAATACTATCTTTTAAAATGGATTATTAAAGATTCAGAATAAAAGATAAACCTACTAAAAGGAATGAGACCATTCATTTCAATAGTAAACACAGAAGGCTGTGAACGAAACTCCATCCACAGAGAGCTGGCCTTCTCTATGCAGGCTTGATCTAGTCCTGGCTCTGTGTCTGGTGCCTCTTGCTTTTTTTTAAAAAACACACAAAATATACAGCACACATTTTAAAATAGCATTACAAAGAAATGTGTTAATTAGTTGCTACAGTTGAACGAGTTTAAGTTTAATATAGTTAAACTTAAAGAATTGTCTTATCAGTGCCATATTTAAAAGCAACATCTTAATGGATAAATTGCTGAATGGAATCATACTTACAGACATAACTCTGATCAAGTTCATTTGTATTCTGACTTTCTCGTCTTGACTGCATTGAGAATCTTAAACCTGTTAAGGTGACTTCACACAACTTTTATCTGCTGGCCTAACTTTATTAAAGCTATCCGGCTTCAAGATCTCCCTTTACAGAACAACATAAACCCAGGGAACAGAACTTTGAGTGTATAAAGGTTTGGAGGAAATAACAATGTATAAGGATACATCTACCAATAAGCTCCATACAATTGGACACATACTCTTGGACTTTGGCGGTCAGGAAAGCACATTTTAATGAGATTTCCAGTATTGAAGTTAGCAGCTTCCACCATCTCTCTCCCCTGTAGTCCCACATCACTTTGTTCAACAGCCTAGAATCAGCAAAAGATGATTTATCAAACAAATGGCTCTATTTTGATTATCAGAGGCCAGTTTAATAATAAGAGATGTTTGCAGTGCCTTTCCATATAAACACATGAAGTCATAGACAGCAGCATAAATAAAAATAACAAACAAACTACCAAAATATAAAATTTAATAATGCTGCTTAAAAAATTTTACAGAAACATTACTCAAGCTATGATGTAGTATAATTAGCAATATTTTTTAAAAGACACAACAGGTCAAGATACATTTTTAAAACAGAAAAACAATAATAAAGATAAGACAAGATAAGGGAGTAACAAGAAAGCAGCTAGATAAATCTCACTCTGAGTATTCTTGTTTTATTTTATTACTTACAAGAGAGCCTTTACATAATCTTTGGCATGGTAATATTCTTCGCCCATCTGAACCACTGAAAATGTATTATTTCATCAATCATTTAGTAAAATCCTTAGGTTATAAATTAGGGCCTACTGTATAAAAAAATATTTTTTATATAACTTACAAAGACAGGATTTAAATAGGAGAATTTAAAAAATAGCCTTACTCAAAAACCTCTTCATTCTAGGAGATTTGTATTTACGAAACTGTGCTACTGCGCTGCTCAAAAGTGGAATGATAAGCCACTGAAAATATTGCAGAACTGAGTTGAAATGTAGTTCAGTTAAACTTTTAAGCAGATGATTTAATTAAATACCAAATCAAACTGATTTTTAAAACATTATGAATTAATAAAAACAATGCTTAAAAAATGAAAAGTAAACTTATAAAAACATTGAACAGTAGTGAAATATTGACAGAGAGTGTTTGTAATTTCAAAAGAGGACATCTTAACAATAATTTATGTACTAAATTTTATATTAAAACCTACAGAGTGATCAACTTGTCTCTCTTTGGTCTGTAGAGCTAAGATTCCCTCCCTTTCCTTCAACAGATCTGGTGGTTCTATGCCTGGGAAATAAAAGAATACCTTGCCACTTTTTTCCGCCAGTTAACAAATCCAACATTTTAGGAGTGACAGATAACAAATTATTTTTTTAAACAGTGTGAAATTTTTCTCCTCACTTTGATGACCTTGTCTCCACTTTCTTTGACCATAGAAGTCCACTGGTCCTAGGTATTCTGCTATGATTTCAGCACTTTTCATATCTTGAGGTTGCTGTAAGTTGAAATTATTTTAGTAAAAAAATCAACAAGTAGCCTTTTTTTTTTTAAATTATAAAACTTCTGAATAAAAGCTTTATCAACAAGTAGATACATTAACAAAACATTACTATCTATATATATAATTCTCTTCTGGGAGACACTAGTAAACAAGCTGTAAGCGTGCTCCCTACCACCCCACCCCTACATGGTCTGGTGAGCTTTGGTTCACCCTAAATGTTTACAAATCGTAGAGCCGGGTTTAGTGACGGCTATAAGGGGCAGGTAATTTAGTTTGAGACGATTTTAAACTTAGGGGAGGTAACTAAGAGGAGTCTGCTTTCACTGGGAAGGGGGGTAGGGTAGGGGTTGGGGAAAGGAGGGTGGGGGTAGTATTGTCCTCAACGACCTACTGATAGTGTTTTAAAGCAAATATTTTCAGTGGCAGCATTGGTACTGTCGAATTCACAAATTATGAATTACTGAAAAGTAGAAAATAAAACAACTAAATAGCGGCATATGATAAGCTGCGGGTCGGCTCGTATCAATATATTACAAATTGTATGACAGTGACATGAGCAAGAATACATTGAAGGTGAAGAAATACCATGCACAATCCTAAGCACAACTGTTTCCTGAATATAGCATGATTGGCAGCTTGTTGATAGTAGAACCCAGGATGTTGTGTTTGAATGGCTGTCAGTCCAAGTTTGATGGCCTCATCAAATAGGTCACCAAATACTTGAAATCTAAACATTTACATACATCATTACCAAGTAATCAATCATGGAAATGAAAACATGTAACAACAATGCAGCTATTTATTAAAGGGATGTCTTAAAATATAATTTTTACAGTTTTTTCCTAATCCATAACAAAAAAATAATAAAGCTGCCTCTAAATTTTACAAAATATTAGTAGAAAAACTCACTGTTTTGACATCCATGCACTATGTTCAAATGACAACTCAGGAATTCCTGTCTTAGATTTGAAGAAATCTATATGTTTACGGAACTGAGCTATGGCATCCAGTGGGGCATTGTGTTGAAAAGAAAGTCGACAGATCTAAAAAAATTCACAAATATATAAATTTTATTACAAGCGTACTTTTATCCATTATTTTATAAATTGTAAGCACCTTGAGTAAACTATAAAATATATCTTCTATAATTATTCTTGTAACAATTATATATGACAACTAGTATACTTAGATAAATTTTGTTTTTACAAACAATATTAATTATATATTAATATATATATAATTATTATTTATATATTTCTATAAAAGCTAAATAAACTGGAGTACCTTATAATTGATAAACCCTGCAACTGTTTTAATCTCAAGCATGTTAGTGTCATGCATTCTTAAGTCCAGAATATACCCATATGCTTGTTTGTAATGCCTGTTTAAAAGAGAGACAATAGAAAACAACATCAATGTAAAACTGTTATAATTAAAAGCAAAACAAAATTATGTATGTTACATTTTAATAAAATGTAACATACATAAAATTTTTATAAACAAGTACTCACTTAATAGCTGTGTTTGAATCTTGTTTTAACTCATTAAAGAATCCACTCTTAAACTGATGCCTTACAAACAAAAGCTGGAAAAAATGTATTTTTAAATTAATTGATATATTGCTAGGTTTTTGTGTCATAGTGTACTCAAATTCTAAAATGTCCATTCTGTTACCTGATGTGTTGTTTTATTCAGGAAATCCTTGTGAGATTTAACCTTTCTTGCTTCTTGATGGTAGTAGGCTTGGGCTTGTTCAAAGAAAGCATTTTCTAGTCTGAAGCAAAAACAAGTAATGTTTTAAACAATTTCTTAGTGCAAACCTTAAGTAATTATTAAAAATTTTTTTTTTGTAATTTAAGATTACTCTGTGTAATGTATATTTCAATGTGACCCAATTCTGCTCTATCTCTAAATTAGTATGTAAAACAAGTACTTATTGTTTGCAATGTTGTATAAAGTATTTTTAATGTTTTTCAGCCTCACTAAAATTTCAAAATGTCATAGATACAGCACTAACCTCATGGTGTAGCCAATAAGATGGTCAGTGTGAGGCAGGACATACAAAGCTTTAGCAGATATTTCACAGGCAGAACAGAGGGAAACAGCTCTCTCTGCTGCCATTAGGTCTTCACCTGAAAAAAATTATAACAATACATATATCCACACATATGTTAATATTATAACATCAACCCACATATATTCTAATATTAAACATCACTTTTTAAAATCTCTTTTTTTTTTATAGTATTAAGGCACACAGTTTCAATATCAGTGCCTACAGCTTACCAGGGGGTAATGGTGCATTTTTCTGTATCAGAACCACAGCAATTTTAGTATTTCTTCCTTGAAGACTGTTTCTATTTGTTTGAAACAAAAAAAACAAGGTTTAATTATAAATACATTTCAGGAATAAGTAAGAAAAACAATTGTCTTTAGTTCAATTTTTCCTCAAAGTGCTTGATGGACAAGCAGAGGAAACAATTAAATCTCACAAAAAATAGTGCAAATCTCACTATATAAAGTCACATACCTGACAATTTCAAGACGTGTGGCACATTCCATTTGTCTTTCTTTCCATAATGGTTCATCCCAATCAAGATCAAAGAATATGACCACAACGGCAGGTATTTCTTGCAAATGCTTGTGCATCCAATATGTTTTTAGAATTCCTTTTGGTATGTACCACTCATATGAAGATCTCTGAGTAAATTATTTTTAAAAATATGTTTAGTAAATTAATTTAAAAAGATTTTACTGTTCTTAAACATGAAATAAACTATATTTTTTACCTTTTGCTTACACTTGGGATATTCATGGTCTGCCTTACAGACTTTAAACTGAAGAGGGACTCTGTCTGAACGCCTGTTGTTGCAAAATGAATCCCAAATAGCTTTATGAACAGCATTGTAGGTTGTATCTAAGCCTGTTAGAGCGACTAAGCCCAACGGTCGACATACCAGCTCTGCAGCTAGTTCACTGGCCCAAGACATTATGACAGTCACCAAATGAAATCATTCAACCTACAAAAAAAAAAGTTAATTAAACAACCTTTAAATTGATGCAACACATTTGTTGAAATATCTAAACAACTTAAAGCAGATAGCTAAATTTAAAATTTAACTGTTAAACAAGTTTTATTTTAAAACTATTTGACTGAGTCTCTTAATTCAATCTTTAGTTTGTGAGACTTAAATTTGATAAGTAGTTAACTAAAGTGAAATCGCACTGAACTTAAGTAGTTACAAAGTTAGGCCTAAAAGTCTAAGTCCTAAGTTAAAGTATAGGAAAGGGCCAAAGTAATTTTAATTTAAGTTAGTAAACACAAAATAAGTAATATATAAATAAGTAGGGCCTAAGTAAAATCTAGTAGATTAAGTTCTAGTCTAGGTGTGATATTTAATAATATTTATAAATACCACAAAACTCTAAACTAATTGTACCTATGTCATTTAATTTTAAACTAATTTAATATTTAACTTTCTTAAATCTTAATCTGGATTCTAGATTTCAAGTAGTTTTAACTTAAAGTAAAACTAAGACTGAACAGTGAACTAGATCTAATCTAGATCTAGATTTAGATCTAGATCTAGTAAGAAAGAGTAGATCTAGAATCTAGTAAAACTAAGAGAGTTACTCAGAGTCAGACCAATCATTCGAAAGTTGAAAGTAGCACTCAAGTTACTAGCAGACATTGTATGACTGTGGGAGAATTGAATTCTAGTTCTAGAAATCTAGTTATGCTTGTGTGTAGAAAAGTTGGTTTGACTTTTCATTTTGAGACATTTCTGCTTTCATTTTGATTTTTTTCATTTTTTGACTTGTAAAAAAATCTTTTTTTTTTTTTAAATTTAATTTTTAATCGATCTAGTTCTAGAATCTATATTTCAAGCAAAGACATTCATAGTCGCTTACAATTTAAACATTCATTTAAGCTACAAGGCCTAGGAAACATATCTAGATCTAGTAGATCTAGTAATGTCTAGAAATATATTTACGTTTATTCAGTTACAATATTCTGATCTATTGAAATAAATTCAGAGTGGGCTGGGCAACTCACCGGAAGTTATTGTTTGAAACCATCGTGTGGATAGCATAACCATATTCAAAACAAAAATTGTTTAACCAGTTGTGTTTTTAAAAAAAAACATTAATAAAGTTTAATTAAAATTTCGCTAAACTATGTAAGACGCGCGCTGGACAGAGTTTCTTCTCAAAAGTCTGCCACTCCCCCCCCCCGAATCAAATGGAATTTATATAGATAATATATACTTTTAACAGAGTCCGCCCCCCCCCCCCCCGAAAATTTCAAGTGCCCCCCACGGAGAAAAAAGTGGAAAAACACTGGTGCTGGAAATCTCCCGTTAGAACCTAGGACCACGTAACAAAAAAGTCTTATGGACTAATGATGTCTTGGAGTCATCTTACTTCGACAACGCCGTCTTCGCATAGGATAAGTGGTGGAAGAATCCCCATAGATGTACTGTATTCAGAATTGTTAAATGGAAAAGAGTGAAAAGGCGTCACCAATTAAGGCATTAGGACCTATGAAAGCTTGACCTTAAAGCCCTAGAAATGGACACTGGGTCCTGGGAGAAAACTGCCCAAGACAAAGACAAGTGGAGGTTCCCACTGCAATATGCTTGAAAAAAAAAAAGGAGAGGAAAGGATCTGCTAGCACGCCGAAGATAAAAACAGAAAAGATAAGCAAAATACTTTGACAACCCCTACTAAGTCTCATCAAATCAAATCGTCCTAAGAGACTTAAAAGCTAATTAAATAACATTAATGAATGACATATTTTAAAAATTGCGATATTTAGAAATAGTTTAGTAAGTGTTTTTTTTTTTATTTAGGCCTACACAGCTTTTTTTTCACACACCGTAACGACATATTTCAAGCTGTTCGCCCAGTTTTGTCTCAAATTTACCTATTTGGGATTTAAATTGGGCTATATAGATTTATGTACACAAAATAAATACAACTGTACAATTTGCATCTGGTTTGTATGGTACCCAGTGCGATAACTCAATGTGTCATCCGTCACCCCTTTCTGACGAAGCGTAGTTTGGGAGTGCGTGTGTGTGTGTGTGTGTGTGTGTGTGCCTGTGTGTGTTACCGTCAACGTGCGTAAAACTGTACCTTGCCTAGGTCAGCTGCGTAGACAGGGTTTTGTTTTTATTTTCGTTTCATTTTCTTAGAATGGTCGTCACCAATTTGACCACGTCCAAGCATTGCATGGGATGTAAAATATACAGTTCCCGTTGTGTAACCCCCCCCCCTCCCACCAAGTATGGTGTCTCCCGGTCCACAGCCCTTTCCAACCCTCTTTTTTTATCTACTTGTGTGTATAATATTTTTGAGTATTTGACTTAAGAGCGTACTAAATCGTTAGAGATATGGTTCAGGGGTTATCCAGAAATGATGTAAAACATTTTGACGATTCTTAGCTCCCCTTCCCATTAGTAAAACAAATCAGCACAAAAGCCCCCCCCCCCCCCTCTAAAATGACATCACATCTCAACAGCCTACAACCCCCTCCAATTGCAGCTTGGCCAACAATCAAATAAAGGTTTAAAATATGTTTGTTAAATTACTTATTACAATGTAAAAATGTGCCGTCACACTTTTTTGAACCCCCTCCCATTTGACACACATCGTCACAACCCCCCCCCCCCCCCCTCCCCCATCAGGAGTGTTACTATGTTATGGAAGATCTTCAAATTGGCTTATTTGTTTTATTTTCTAAACGTACGATCTGAAAGAAAAGTAGTTGAAAAAAAAAAGAAAAAGATCGAACCTTAACTCTTCAAAATAACAGGCCAAATACTTAACATTACAATAACATTAAAATGATTGTTTTAAAAATGGATTTTCCCCACATAGGATTTCAACCTATTGATTTGCTAAGTGTGTCTCCGTGTAGTTGTCATAATGGTAAAAATAGATTCGTATCATTCTCGACAATACATTTCAAAGTTGAGTTTTAAAATTGAACACTATTGCGTCACCGATAAAAACATGGCGCTGAGCAAATGATTTTTCTCCGAATGGTAACTTGTGTTTTGTATTGTAAATCAAATGTGTCTCTTGGTGTTGCTATTTAAATATTTATTCTATATAGTTAATGTTAATGCAGTTCAATGCATTCACTCTGGTTGAAAGGTTGAAACCCATATTTAAGTGGTAACGTATAGTTTTGTAAATAAAAGTAGATCTAGAGCTAAATCTAGATCTATATCTAGATCTAGTACTTTAATAGGCTGTATATAAGACTAGAGTAGTAAGAACTTTGTTAGAGTCTCTGTGTTGTTGTTGCTAGTGGTGGACGGTTTACCTAACTTAGCCCTTTTAAGTCCTCTTGAGGCATAAGGCCTCCACTGTTATCCGGTCTCCGGCTGTACGTTTTGCCGTCTGCCGGGAAATCTGTTTGATCTTTAGCTCTTCGAGAAGACTCCGCCACCCAGTGGCGTAGCGAGGTCGGGTGTCACCCGGTCCGGCACTCAATGGTGTCACTCCCCCCCCCCCCCAGAGGCGTAGCGACCCTTCCCGGGGACAAATTTTCGATTTGCACCCACCCCCTCAAGTTTTCGATTTGCACCCCCCACCCTCAAGTTTTTCTCTATATATTTTGCTAATTTTTGCCGTGGTGTCACCCCCCTAAATGGTGTCACCCGGTGCGGTCCGCACCCCCCGCCCCCCCCCCCCCTCGCTACGCCTCTGCCGCCACCAGATATGTCTTGCCCCCCCCCCCCTCCCCAACACCCCATTTTTTGCCTCCCCTGGATATTCAACTGAAATATATGATCTTTTCCTGAAAATGTAACAAACGTATAAAAAAGTATTTTTGTTGTTGTTTTCATTTCTCAACAGCTTTACCCAATACGCAAGAAAAAAGAGAGTAGCCAAATGTATCGTATTGAGAAGGTTGTTATTTTTTTGTTACTATTTCTGATAGTTTTCTGATAGTTTTCATGGTTAAATTAGTGACAAAAGTCGTAGATAGGACTAGAAATAGTGTCGTCACAGGTTGAGTTCGCATTAAGGCCAGCGTTAGTGTCACGGTTATTGCTAGTAGTAGCGATTCCAGCCAATACATGCATCGAACACATCTTGCCAAGGTTTAAACAGGTACATGGATATCTTATGGAATCGCTGATTGGGTAATGATTGGCCAGGTTGAAGCGGGTAGGGTTGTAGGCCTACTGCGTTAAAACTAGGATGAATTTTAATTCTTTTTTTTTCACCTTTGATAACTTCAAGCCATACGGAATACCATTTAAAAAAAAAAAGAAAAAAAGAGAAAAAAAAGCACTGTACAAAAAAACACCATTTAATATTTATTTATTTAGCGGGCAGCTGTGGGGCGTGTTGACCTGTATGTAAACAACTCTAGCTAGTTTTATTTAAATTGGTTAATTACATGCACTATTACATTTGAGTACGTGCTGTCTCGTAATGACGTTACTACACGTTCGGTCCACAAACCCACGTTTTTCTCTCATGTATATCTAATTATGTCATGGGAGTCGCTGACTCCATGTCTGCCGGGACGGCGTTATCTCCCCTTTGTTATTCGTTTTGGTATGAGACCTTACCTCCCCTGAGTGTTGAAGGTGTTTATTTTTTTTTTATTTTAAATATTTCTGGTATGAGATATTCTGGTGCGGATTGTTTGAATGAAAGACATAGTGTAGTTGCAGGCCTACTGACTTGTGATGTTAAACTATTTCTAATGTTGTGTTCTGGTTTCTTCAGCGTGATTTAAAGGTAATTTAAAAATTTAAATTTTCGTGTCATTGAAAATTACTAATTTTGGTTCATAGCCAACAACTAACCGGCAAAGTATGGATATCTTTATTTTAATGTTATTGGTCAGAAAATACAATAATTGCACCATGATCTCGTGACTATGATAGATCCGCTTTTGGAATAATTCCAGCTGTGGTGGTAGATTAGCCGTTTTGGAAATAAAAGTCATAATGAGTACCTTACCTACCCTCAGAGTTATTACCGAACCTCATGTACGTGAAACTCACGCTGTGAACAGTTACATTACACACGGTTTGAACTTATTAAAATGCTGGGCTGATGAGCATGAATTCTGTTCCACCTACAGTCGGCGTGACGGGACCCGATCAGTCCTTGGCCGACAGAACATATTTCCGGTTAACAGATCTATATACTACTAAAAGTCAAGTTTGTTTACATGTTTGAACATTTATTTGTTTTTTTTTGTATACTACTAAAAGTCAAGTTTGTTTACATGTTTGAATATTTATTTGTTTTTTTGTTTGTTTGTTTGCCTGATTGACTATTGCTCATGGTTGCACTCATCGTGGAAAGCTGTAAAATAGTATGTAGGTAGAGAAATTTTTTTGTTTTAAGACAGACTGTTAATCACAAATTTATTTAAAGACGTTAATTAATTTATTGATTTATTCATTGTTAAATTAACCGTATTTTTTTAAAAATGTTAATACTTTGAATAAACTTTGTGGGGATAGTGACGTCCCTTGATGTGTTTACTTTTTTGGTACAATAAAAATGGCGGACTCCATCATAGACTTTGTGGCCCATTCAAAAGTTTAACGCGTTACAAAGCTAATTTTCTGCCGGCTATAACTTAAACAATACGTCCGTTTGCTGTATTTATTACGTTCCAACACTTATATCAATTTTCAACTGTCTTTTTCATTTAGTTTTACGATAAATTTCTCTAGATCTAAAGATCAGCTGTCGAAGGAAAGTTATGAAGCTAGCCTAGATCTAGAATCTAGATCTATCTAGATCTAGCCTAGATGTAGGTCACTAGACTCAATGTAAATTCTAGATCTAGACTTAATGTTAAATTCTACATCTAGAATCTATTTCAGGCCTTAATTATTTTATATAAATCTTTGTTTGGCTAATTTAAGATAAAATTTAATTTGAAAGTTACTACTACTAGACTTAGATCTAGATCTATGCGCGGAGACTCAAAAGTATAGTATAAAAATTCACTTGTGACGTCACGAGTAAATAGCTAAGCTGGTAGCGTAGTCGG